TCTCTCCAGCCCCCTGGAGTAATTATTTTAACCTATGTATACATTTGTATAACTATGACTGTAACCGTGATATAGAGCAGTTCACCTCCCCCAAACTCCCTCATGTTCTCTGTGGTTACACTACCCCCTAATCCATTCCACCAGCAACCACAGATCTGTTTTTATAGGGGTTGAAGAGACGGCTTAGTAGTTAAGAGCACTGACTGCTCTTGCAGACTAATAATCATCCCTAATTCCAGTTCAAGGGAAGCTGACCCTCTTCTGTCCCCTGTGGGCATTGTATAACACAGTATACTTACATACATGCGGGCCGGACATAGGTACACTTACGTGTGTATGGGCAAACCTCATACACATAAAAATAAATTAATTAATTGCTGGTCTTGGTGGCGCACACCTTTAATCCCAGCACCTGGGAAGCAGAGGCAGGTGGATCTCTATGAGTATAGGCCAGCGTGGTCTACATAGTGAGTTCCAGGTGGATGTCTGTGAGTTCAAGGCTAGCCTGGTCCTACATAGTGAGTTTAGGACAGCTGGGGCTACAGGGAGACCCTGTCTCAAAAATACCAAAAAAATTTTTTTTTAAATTAATTAAAGAAAGGTCATATAATTGGAATCATATCGTATATAAGCTTTTAATACTGGTTTCTTTCATCATAATGCTTTTGAGAGTCATCTAAGTTGTGCTTATTGATGATTCCTTTTTGTTGGCTGAGTATGAATCATGTACTGCTATTTTATCCTTTTTTTGTTAAGCATTTGAGAATACATAAGTTTTGGCACCATAATAAGGAATTTAAGTGAATTATTTTGTGAAATGGGGATTGTCATCATCCCTTTTATGTTAAAATAGAGCCTTGGAGTTTAAGTAGGCCTAGATGGAACAACTAGTTAGTCGACAACTTGAGACTCGGACTGTGGTCATCTACTCCAAAGCTCATGCTCTTAACCATTAGGCTACAGGGCAAATTGCTAATGGTACTTTCTTTTTCTGAGTCAGGGTCTCACTATGTTGTCCTAGCTGGCTTAGAACATGCTATGTAGACAGGACTGGCCTCTACCTCCAGAGTGCTGGGATTAAAGGCATGTGCCACACTGGCCTTAATGTCAGTTTCTTAATTTCTCTCTGTTGCGTAACAAAATTAAATTTCTGTGTGTGTGTGTGTGTGTGTGTGTGTGTGTGTGTGTGATACATATGCATGTGTGTGCATGTGCTGTTTCTTAGGGTGTGGAGGTCAGAGAAATCTGGTATTCTCCTCTGTGCTCTCCATCTTAGGCACTTGAGGCCAGGTTTTAGGCTAGTTCGGCTGTGCAGTAAGTCCCAGGGGTTCCCTTGTCTTCAGCCCTCAGTGCTGGGGCCTTAGGTGTACAAACCAGGACCTTTTTCTGTTTGTGCTGGGAATTCAGGTCTGAATGTTTGCACTGTAAACCATCTCCCCAGCCTTGAGAAGTTAACTTTCTTGTTCCCTTAAGGTAGCCTAAAGCTGCTGGCTCTTCTCTTACTGCCGTGTCTGCTGTTCTCTTGGCAGTATACTAAAAAAAAAAAAGCATAAGATTCCCCTACTTTCTTGTTTATATTTATCAAAGAGCAGAGTTAAAAGTAGTAGGTATTTTTATGTTACTAGGGTTCTGTGATTGAGGCCTAGAAGAAGTCAGCAAAATAAGCCATAGCCCACAAGCACTTATTAAGAATTAGCATTAAGGTCATCTATATAGAAGAATTAAAGCCACTGGGCTTGGAGGTGCACACCTAGAATCCCAGCACTTGGAAAGCTGAGGCAGGCAGATCTCTGAGTTCAAGACCAGCCTGGTCTATATAGCAAGTTGCAGGTCAGCCAGAGCTACATAGTGAGCCCCTGTCTCAAAAAAGAAAATAAAGTAAAATAAAAAGGAATTAAAGTCATAATGCTGTTTTTTTCTTAATCTTTTATAAGTAAAATCTTTTATAGATAAGTAATAAATACTAAATACAAGTAGGGATCATTGAAATCAGACTGATTTAAAATAAGAGACTTGCCTTCTCTCATACTGCCTTAAATGTAACTATGACAAAGGTAGTTAGTTGTCTTTCTTTTTGATTTTAAAAAGCATTGAATTTTGCCAGACATGGTTGCAAAGTCCTGTAATTCCATTACTCTCAAGGTAGATGCAGGAGGATAAAAGAGTTCAAGGCTAGCCTTTGCTACATAATGAGTTGGAAGCCACATAGTGAGACCCTAATACAAAAAAAAAATGAAAGAAAATTTAAAAAGAAAGAAAACAGTATTTTGGTATAAACATGTCAATTTTTAAAACGTGCTAAAATCTTGTTTGCTTAAATATCCTGTCATAAGATAATGTTTCTAGAATAATGGTATAGCTTTTGTTTTATGTTATTTTATTTTGCTGAGGATTGAAACTAGGACCTCACACATGCTAGGTAAGTGCTGTACCCCTGAGCTACAGTACAGCTTTAAAAATTAGTAGTAGAGTATAAACACCATAATTGAATTTTTGAAATTTTGCTGATTCAGTAATTTTATGTGTTGCTTCCTACCAAGTATACAAAAATTGATGAGGAGGGCCTGGGAAAATAACTCAGCAGTTAAGAGCACTTGATGTATAAGTAGAGGACCTGAGTTCAAATCCCTGTATACATACAGGTAAGCACCGCCCCCCAAAATGAATTAGACTTTTTAAAAAAATTTTTTAAACTGTGTGTGTGTATGTGTGTGCATGCATGTGTGCCACAGTGTTGATGTGGCTGTCCGAGGACAAATTATTGGAGTTGATTCTCTCCTCTATCATGTGGGTCCTAGGGATGGAACTCAGGTCATCAACCTTGGCAGAAAGAGCCTTCACCCTCTGAGCCATCTTGTTGACCCGTTTTTGGTCTTTTTGAGACAGGGTCTCCCTGTAGCCCCAGCTGGTCTGGAACTTGCCATGTACACCGAACTTGCCTTGGACTCACAGAGATCCGCCTGCCTCTACCTCCCAAGTGCTGGGACTAAAGGCTTGCACTGCCATGCCTGGTGACCCTGAGAGTTCTTTTTAAAATGTACCTTACTATGATTTTTTTTCTCATTCTGCAACAACTACTCAGAGGACTTAGAGAGGATATAGAGTCAAATGTCAGAACTGAAATCTCTAAAATTTCCAGTTCTTTTTGCTGTCCTGGTATTTAACCGAAACATACAGTAGGGCCAAATAGCTCAGTCGTAGAGTACTTGCCTAGCATGTGTAAAGCCCTGGGTTCAATTCTTAGTACTGCTAAAACCCAAAACCCCAAATCAAAACAAAGGCTGAGGAGATGGCTCAGTTGGTAAAGTATGCTGCCATGTAATCATGAGGACCTGAATTGGATTCCCAGAACCCACAGAAAAAGCAGGACATTATGAAGCTTAGTTGCTAAGCTGAGGGGGTAGGGGAGCAGGGACAGGGAAGGAGATAAACAGATCCTTGAAGCTCATTGACTAGCCAGCCTAGCTAAATTGATGAGCTTCAAGTTCAGTGAGAGACACTCTGAAAGGTGGAGGAGGGGCCACTGAGATGACTCAGTAGGTAAAGACTTGGGGCCCTTAAGCCTGAGGACCTGAGTTTGATTCTTGGAATCCACATGTGGAAGGAGAGACCCAACTCCCACAAGCTGTCCTCTGACCTCCACATGTGTATTATGGAGGTGTAATAATAATAAAAAAACTGTAATGTAAAAAAAATAAAATAAAGGTTGATAGTGCTTGTGAAGCATGATACTTGTCTTTAAGTAGGTTAGCAGTTATCATTGTAGAGAGCCTTGTATAAAGTGACTGCATACACAATGGAGTGTTTTTGGCAGCAGAAAAGGTAGTTTTGTTAAACAATAGTCCCTTATCCCTCCCTTCTCCCAAACTTTTCAAGTAGAAAAACCTTTTCATGGGGTTGGAGAGACGGCTTTGTGGTTAAGAGCACTGACTGCTCTTGTGTGGACCCAGGTTAGATTCCCAGCACCCACGTGGTGGTTAATAACCATCCATAACTCCAGTTCCAGGGGATTCAACTCCTGGCTTCTGCCAGTATTGCACACCTGTGGTATACTTACATACATGCAAGCAAAACACTCATACACATAAATTAAAAATAAACCAATCTCAAAATAAACTTGGATATTGGTTACATCTGGGTCTTGGTAGCACACAGCTTTAAAAAAAAAAAGAGAAAAATAAAAAATTTTCTATGATCCTACTCAATATAATTACTGTCTTTAATTTTTCATCTCATTCTTCATGAAATTTCTTTAATCAAGTTCTTTTTAACTCTTGTGTGACTTTTCCTAGGCAGTTTGATTCTATTTAGCCATATAGAAAGAATAGTTCCATCCAAGTCCTGCTCTGTGGACCAATGAGTTTTGGGGGGTTGCAGGGGCATGGATGACTTTTTGGAAGTTGCATCAGTGAAAAACCACTTGTCCCACAGGCATGAGTCAGGACTTAAAGCTGTATCACTGAAGATCCCTAGGCAGTCACACCGTGGAAGGGTCTCCTTCCCAGCAGTTGTTTACTTTCATTAACTTGAGGGAGGGGACTCATGAGTCTTTTTAGGTTTTGTGAGCTTCCTGAGTCTTGGAAGTTTCTCATGAGTTTTATGAACTCCCTTTCTCCCTCTAGGAGGGATTATTTCAATCTAGAAGAAACATTTACAGAACAATCTATCACATGTGAAAACTCTTTATTTTAAAGATTAAAAAATTTTTTTTATCTGACTGAATATTTTGTCTGCATGTATGTATGTGCACCACATGCATGTATGTGCACCACATGCATGCCTGATGTACTTAGAGGCCAGAAGGAGGCATCAGATCCCCTGGAATTTGAGTTTACAGAGGACTGTAAGTCACCACGTGGCTCCTAGGAACTGAGCCAGGGTCCTCAGCTAGAGCAGGAAGTGCTGTTATCTGTTGAGCCATCTCTCCAGGCCCCCAACTTTTCTTTCAAGATTAATAGTGGCCTCTGTGTTGCTAAAACTGCTGTCCTTTTTTCCCTCAGGCCTCATCTTACTTGATCTGTCACCAGCATTTGGAGCTCAACACACTCTACTCAGAAACACTCTGACTTGAGCTGCATGCTAACAGAACAGGTCTGTTTTCTTCCTACATCCTGTATCTCTCAATGTTTTTTCTCAGCCTCCCTTCTTGGCTCTTTATCATTTCTCCTACCTCTAAATGATGGGGTGTCCCCAAAGTCTCATATATTGTCTTTAGCTTTATGTCATATGCATGTCACTGTCATATGTGCTAATAACTCTCACAATATATTATTTTTTGTTTTTATTTTTATTTTTGTGATATTCTGTAATTTGAAATATGAAGGAAAATTAACAATACTTAAATACTGATACAAAGTCAGTACAGTTTATGTTAACATGATAAAGAACAAAGAAAAGATATTTGCTTAATATATATACACAAATGTACTCTTTCTGAACAGGCATGGAGAAAAAAGGAGCTACATCAGTAGCTCCTTTTCAGGTGCCATCCAATGTA